TTTGAGATGCACATCCGCCAACGTGAACGTAATTAAGACGTGTTTATATCACTTAATCCCTTGAGGGCGACTCTTTCGCTATTAAATGCGGCAGACAAGCAGTTAATACGGTTTTCTTCCGGTTATCCTTCCTTACGATGCTCCTCGACGAGGGGGATGGGTTTTCAATATAAGACGTGCGGGTAGGAGGTCGCGTACGGCAGATGCTTGGACAGCTCCGCGGCGTGGGCGTGCAGATGCGCGGCCTTGGCGTGGGCCACTTCCGGCGTGTCCACCACGCGTCCGTCGTGGCCGAGCGGCGCCGGCGGGCCGTGGTACTTGCCGTGTCCGACGGCGTAGCCGAGGTGTCCGCCGGCTCCTATCCCCCCGCCGTATCCTCCTCCGTATCCTCCGCCGAACCCTCCGTCCCCGTAGTAACCCCCGTCCCCGCCACCGTAAAAGCCGCCCCCGTAGTGCGCCGTTTTGGCAGCCTCCGCGGCGTGCGCCGCCAGATGCTCCTTCTTGGCGTGGGCCACTTCCGGCGTGTCGATCACCCGGCCGTCGTGGGCCAGCGGGGCCGGCGGTCCGTGATAGTATCCACCGCCGTGCACCCCGTTAACGTACGGCTCATAAGGCGCGTACGCCGGCAGTGCCAGCGTCGACAGCGAGAGGCACGATAAGACGATCTGTAAAGGGCGAGCAACACGCGGATGAGCGATTTAAAGTTGGATCCCGAGAGATAAGAGGAGGGAATTATGTCACAGACGAGGGAATCGCTATCGAAAATCTCTCTGTGCGCGCGCCGCGAAGAAGATCCACAAGCGGGATAAAACGAAAATTATATTCACAATCAGACGTGAAAGCGATCCTTTTATATTGTGTGAGAAAGTTTAACAATGGAGCCTTGCACAGAATGTCTCCTCGATCTAAGTTTCGTAGTGTTTTGAAAAAAATATAATGTTTTTATGATAAAATATTATTATAGTAAAAATAACGAAATAGTAAAAATAATAAATGAAAAAATATTATTTTTTGAATGCTAAACAGATTGTCTCCTCGATCTAAGTTGCGTTTGTTTTGAAAAAATAATATTTTTATGATGAAATATTATTGTAGTA